AGACTGAAACTTCACCCTTGATCGCGGAGACAGTAGTTGACAGAACAATCTGACCACAAGGCCCCTTTATGATCTTCCTCAGCAGATGGAGTTAGCTTCATTTTTGCCCATTTTACATGGCATTATTGAAGTTCTTAAAGGGGCTCTAGGAATAAGTGAGAGCATTTGAGTCGTCTGGACACGGTTGTCAACATGTAGGTGGCTGAGCTGGCAGCTAACAGTGCTAACACGCGGCTGGACAGGCTTCCATAACAATGAACAGGATGCCATTACTCCACTACATCTTTACATTGCTAATAGGGGTCTGCTGCCATGTTAATGCTCTGAATGCTGCATACAACTTCTTTTAACACATAACTTAAATGACTTCAAAGATCCAATAGCCAGCTAAAGAAGCAGATAATAAGGTGAGAATCACATAGGACATTTGGTTTCTATAATACTAACGGTTATGTAATGGAACAATGTGGGTTGTGTCGACAAAAATTACTCCTTTTGTCTAACTTGGGACTTATATTATTGTCTGGACAAACTGCAAAGCAAAAGTGGAAAAAGTAGCAACGACAGGAAATTACATTTCTGGCATTTATCTTGTTCTCTGAAATTAAAATCGAGCAACTGAACAAACAAGGTTTACTTGGTGCAGAAGCAATAACACATTTTAAACTGTGGCCTTGTTTCTCGGTGGCCCTCTTGGGTTTTTCAGATAGCTACGGGGCAGAGTGATGAAAAACTGCAGAGAGGGAATAAAGAGAACAAGGCCATGGAGTGGAGTGGACCCACAGCATGATGGCCTGAAACTGAAGAAGATACTGGGTCACTCGAGGCAAGATGGATGGACTGAAGGAGGACAGAGAGGGAATACAGGATAAAGTAAGTTTTTTAATAAATGAAGGAGAAGAAAGGAACTGGGAGTAAAACAGAGAGAGGGGAGAGAAATAGGGATGAAGGGAGAGATGATAATTGGGCCTCATTTGCAAGTGTGTCTGTGTGTTTTACAGATTTCCTCTACCTCAATCTGGGTCAAGGTTATTTAGGCTGTCTAACAGCTCCTAACTACACTGCTTTAAAAGTGCTTCACTGATGTTTCATCTCAACCATCCATTTATGAGAACTCTGTATGTGTTTCGATCATGCCATTCCCTCCATCACTGTTTAATCTGCACACAATACATTGAATATATCAAACTGAGAGACTTTATCCTACAGTCTGACCACATCATTCATGAGTGCCATTGTAACCACTTAATTTCTGAGCTGTGTGTTAATATAATTAAACAATTTTACATATGACTTAAACTGTTTTCTATTAATTAATACGACAAAACACAGGTTATTGGTCTGGGCTTGCTTGTAGTCTTTAAAGTGTAAATCCCCTCATTTTACTTTAATTAGCATTTTAATGATAACTGGATGTTTGTGATGTATAGCTCTTGCCATGAGCATGCTTTGCTGGTAGCCAGCTGTAGGCTACAAACACAGCAGGGAAGTCATTCCTGCTGTGTTTTTAGCCTACAGCCAAACAGCATGAAATACCTACAATAAACAACACAGCCTAATTCTCAGAGGCATAAAGAGGCTATATCACCACAAGTACATTGATATCTCCTGTTAAATGACTATTGCAGGATTTACACTTCTGCACTGAATTGACGGCATACCCTACCCCGTAGCCTGACTTGCACCTCCCCAGAAATATAACTACATGTTGCAGTGACGCAGACCTTCTGTCTATTTTTGTAAGCTGAAACCCTTTCCCTCAGTGGAAACAAAGCTTTCATTTACTTCAATTTCACAGATAATAAACAATAAATTGTGAAGACAATAAAGCCTCCACAACATAGCATTTTAAGTCTTGTGTGTTAGTTATCCTGGCTTCATGTGCGTAAAGGACATCTCCGCTAGTGCTAGGCTAATTTATACAATGTAAAATGCCAAAGGCTTGTGCTAATAACGTTAGCATGTTGTATTTGTTTGGAAAACATGTTCAGTATAAGACAGTTGTTTTTTAAGTGATCCTTGTGAGTTGTAATGGAGCTTAATTTATTAACGTTAGCTTTGTTAAATGTTGCTGTTGTCCCTGGCTTCATATGAGTAAAGGAAAAGTCCGCTAGCTGCTAAGCTAATTTATACAATGTAAAATGCCCAAGGCTCGTGAAAAGAACATTAGCATGTTGAATTTGTGGGGAAAATGTGTCCAGCTAAAGACAAGTGCTTTGTCTGTGAATCCTGCGAGTTATAGTTAAGCTCATTTGTGTACTTTTGATTAAAACTGTCTCTATTAAGCCATGTTTAATGTGCGTTTAATGTGTGTTTCGAATCAATTAAACTTTATATCACTTCAAAGAAACCCGCCGCCAACTAGTGTTTTGGAGGTGTAACTGCAGAGTGAGACAGACACAGCACTGCACAAGTATAAACTCTTTTAACGGCGTACACTCTGCATAGAGCTTCTTATTAATTCATTCATATAATCTGAGCAGGACTACAAACCAAAATATGATCAAAGCAAAAACTACCTTGAAGCTACAAGACAGAAAGATATAAACATTCGGCTGTAATGCACATGCTGGATGATTTAGACTTATTTTCACTTAAGCCACACACACTAGCATTTAGATGAGTCTGGACCACCTTGGACATTAAAAACAATGCAGTCTTTTCCTGTCCTTGGTCATATTTGACCCCCCTCATTTGCATTTTGCTGAGTCGCTGCTCACTTTCATGATGCTTTGAGATAATTGTTTCAGTCCACCAAACATACATGCTCACTAATGCATGTGAAACTGCCAATTCAGGCTAATCTGAGTCTAAATTTTGCTCCCACAGAGTCATTTCCAAGAATCAGTGCACAGAATTGAAAACCATGCATTTAAACAAATGACTGGTTTGTTCTATGTGTACATGTCGCACACAGGAAGAAAACTTCCAGCTAAAAATAGGAGTTTAAGTTTCCTGCTCAGTGGTGCATTAGCCACTGTGGCGCTGAGTGTGTGTGTTAGGAGATGTGTGTTTGTGCGGGAATGTTGGTAATGTGTGTGTGTGTGTGTGTGTGTGTGTGTGCTTCCAAGCTATCATAGCTCAGTCATGCAGGTAAAGTCATCATCACCAGCAATCTGCTCAGGCCTCTAGGGGGATGATGCATGAGGACACACATACATGTACCTCCACATGAACCCACACACACCCACGTTTAACAACACATCTAACCACACACAGACACACACACAATCTCCCCTGGGGTGTTCCTCACTCTTGAGAGAAGGACCAGAGGGGGTGCAGAGTCCATTCACCCATATAGACAGAGAGAAAATTAATTTGTCACAGCACGTTTATCGTCATGACAACCTGCCTTTTAATTAACGGCTGACAAACAGCAGTGTCGAGTCTCTGTCTGGGGAAGGAGAGATAGAAAGAAAATGGTGGAGGAAAAAAGGTGCTCTCCTCATCATTTGTGATTGACATTCTTTATGACACTGATACTATGCTGTATGTTTTTAAAAAATTAAGGTTTGGTTTAGTTTAAGGATTAAATGACTATCGGCCTGGATGATTATTATGATTATCAGAATCCTTATTTTTTTCTTCTGATAGTAAAAATGTTAAGTTGTAATAAACATCATGATCCAGTATGAAGAAGTCGCAAAAACACCCAGTGGTTCCACTAATTACATTCTGCCATTAGTCTTATAGTAGTTACTGGATGAACCCTTAGTTGCACAGTACGAGGACTGTAAGGAGAGGGAGATGGAGTGAGACGGAGCCTGGATGTGGCAAGAGATATGACAAAGTTATCATAGTTTATAAACTATACACAGTGGTGACTGACAATACAGACATGCTATACACTAAACAAAGGATGCTGAGAGGAATCTGTATAAAGTTCTGTGTTGAAAAGATGGTGTTTGTTTCACTCTAAACTTTGGGATTAAAATTTATATTTTCACTATAAATGTATCGGTTCCAAGTAATGGTTAACGGCCTCGTTGAATACTAATAATTAGTATTGGAATTGGCCTTGAAAAAAAAACACATTGGTTGATCCCTAGTTTAGTTTGGGAAATGTAAACCAGGTTAAGATTGTCATCATGGATAAAACACACAGCAGTGATTACTGGCAGTGGCTTGTTTGCAAATTCAGGAAATTTAAAGACATCACGATAAGATCTAGGTAATTTTAATGGACATTTATAATTTTTTGACAATTTAAAAACAAAAAATCAGCATTTCTCAGCATTAATCTTTAGATAAAAAGCCAAATAAAGATTAATAAGAGCTGCAACGTAATCTAATAACGTAATTGCAGACAATGGGAGTAGTCTTGGTTTTCCATCTCTTTTTAGTTTTCCTTTCACATTCTTCAATGCAGCAACTCCAAACCTATGATTTCATCATATATAGTAGCTTTACATTTAGCCCTTTGATGTCAAATTACAGTGGATAAAAATCCAAGTCTTTTTATGTATAAACCACAGAGGAAAAGTTTGTATGCACTGCTGTATGGATCAATTCCAAAAGAAATATACCAACAATCAGGCTGCATCCAATCTGATACAAAAGAACAAACTGGCTTTATATCTCCATTATTAAAATTGCGTGTGTTTCTGCATGTGTGTTTGTGCAGCAGTCAAACCCAGCGGCAGCCCTTTGACAGTGTGTCACAGTGCATTAATAAAGGCTGACTGTGGCCTATAACCTTGTCAGCGTACTCCGAAACTTTTGGTTTGTCTTTTGAGTGCTAGTGGAGTTTCAGAGCCAGCCGCTGGCATGTAGTCCTGAATGAAAAACCAAACAACTCCTGTCTGACAAGCCCGCTCTGTCATGTAAAACTAAAGCGTCTCAGCTGTGTGTGTGTGAGAGTGGAATAGAGAGGAGGCTTGTGTTCACCCGGCTCACTTCAAGCCTCAGACCACAGAGCTCTTTTAAGTATCAAACCATAAAAACAGACCTGCTGCCTCAAATACCACCAGTGTGAAAGAGCGTGTGTGTGTGTGTTCTACCTCTTGAGGTTAAGCAGAGCCCAGGGGATGCCAGTGGGCGTTTTGAAGGCAGGCAGCAGCTTTTCACCCAGCTCCACCGCCTTTCTACGGTATACCTGAGAAAGAAAGAAAAGAGCATCTCATTAAAAGAGGTTTCTCCCTCTGATCTCACATTTTCTTGACCATCCTTTTGAGAGATAAAGTGCACCCAACGAAGGGAAAGAAATCCCTTTCTCCAGCACACAATGAGTGTCTCACACAGCAACACCATTCTCTATTAGACCTTTTACCCAAGAATGGTGTCATTGTTGTTTGGATATCTCAGCAATGACACCACACAGCTTACACCTACAAGTCCACATGAAACAGACAGCAGAGTATGTGTATGTGATGCTATGTAATTTTACATATGTATTAGCAGTAAGCCTTGGACAACAATCCTTAACTGTGAGCTACTTTGTAGATCTAGTCCTGTATGCAGAATTTAAAGCAATGGGGGAGGGACGTAACAATTAACGTTTAATTAGTCACAAAATGAGTGTACACCCCCAAGTGCATGGTGAGTCACCATTATTGTTCATTGTTTCCAAATGACAAACTCGAAAATACCATTAAGAACACCCACAACATTACTTTTTCGTCATTTTTGGTCCAGATTCAGATTGTTTGTTTTATCAACCAAGAGTCAAAAACTCAAATGTATTCAGATTACTATCATACAGGACAGAGAAAAGCATCAAACCCTAACATCAAAGAAGCTGGATCCAGCAAACTTTTTTGCTTGAAAAGTATAAACACTTTAAGTAAATCAGCATATTTGATGAAGTTGCTGTATTGTAAATGGCTTTTGATTAGGGATGCCTAGATTGATTGGCCGATATTCAGTGGAAATATGCAATTGAGAGATGGAGATTAATGCTTTCTAGTTGCCAATCATGCGCACAGGGGTGGGATGGGGCATTATTAGCAACTAACAAATCCGTGAATATTCAGCTTACCCACATGTGTTTTATTAAGTTTTTAGATACCCCACAAGTACTCTGTTTTGCTGATACCTCACTAGAACTGAACTCCCACTCCTGCAGTGAGCAGCGTTCTCCTGCCTGCCCCACGCCACACATCCACACACTAACTGCCTGCTCACAGCACAAGAGGAGGGGGAGAGAGATTACACTGCATTTTTCAGTTGTCCTTCTAGACTTACTGTAGGCTACTGGTGTATTGCACCTTGGGATTTTGTTGTATTGCTCTGTTGTTTTAAGGTAGTAAGTAAAATCATGTTGTTGATAGAATAAGAAACCATCAAGACTGACTCTTTGTGGTTCTTTATTCATATTGTTACTTTACAGCCTCGGTTAAATTGCCACGTGGTGGAGAGCCCATTACCCTACAAAGCAGTCAAACCGACTTATGACACTGCTGTACCAGTTGCTATAAAAAAAGGAAACAAATGATTGAACAATCGACAATCAGTGCAGATGTCAGCCTGATATTGCTCATAGATGATCATCAATCAGTATTGGTGTCAGCCCGATGTGGCTCATAGACGATGGACAATCTGTAAAGGTGTCGGCCCGATAAGGCTCGTAGACGACTGACAATCGGTATAGGTGTCAATCCAATATGGGTCATAGACGATCGCCAGTCAGTATAGGTGTCAGCTTGATATGGCTCATGGACAACAATCAGTACAGGTGTCATCCTGATATGGCTCATGGACAATCAAACAATCAGTAAAGGTGTCGGCACGATATGGCACATAGACGATCGGCAATCAGAACAGGTGTCAGCCAGATGCAGCTCATGGATGATCAACAATCAGTACAGGTGTCAGCCTGATATGGCTTATGGACGATCAAGACATCAATATAGGTGTCAGCTTGATACAGCTCATAGACGATCGGCAATCAGTGTAAGTGTCAGCCTGATCGACAATCAGTATTGGTGTCAGCCCGATATGACTTGTAGACTATCAACAGTCTGTATAGGTATCTGCTCTCATGCAATATAATGTAAAACTTCATTACTGATAACGCTATAATGATAATTGGTATGGATTTTCTATGCCTGTTGTTTTTGAACTAAAGAAAATGACAAATACTAAACAATTCATCTAAAAAAACCCCCAAAAAACCCAACCATACACAATGTTGAACGGTAAACAGAAGCATTTTCTGTACCAGGTATACTAGTTTTAGAAAATGTTTTAAAAATAACTACCAGGAGCCGCCTGCCAAATCACAGCACCAAGGGACGAACTCCAGTTCTGAGGCCAGTGCTTTCATTTAGGGCAACATTTGACAAGGACACAACGAAAGTCAAAGCTCACTGAATTCAAATTCTTTTAAAACCTGATATACATCGCAAATATAATAGTCTTCTCCTATTATATGTAAAGCTCCCAGGAGAAGAACAAAGAAGTTTATATTACACCTGTAGCTAAGTCCTCCCCTCCTTCCTTCCAATCTTTATTATCCCCTTATTCCAGGCTTTCGCTCTTTCCTGTCTCCTTCCTTTAGTCCTTGTAATCTGTTGCCAATATCATTCCCTGGCTGCCTTGTTGTTGCATGCAGCTACATTGATGTTTTCCATCTGTAATTTGAGGGAAATTACACGGATACTTCACCCCATTTAAGGTCACTTGCACCAGATACCTTCTAGTAAAACTGTTCCAGTAAACTCAAAACAATAATATAATGAGATGCTAAGTCTGAAACTGAAGAAGCATGTCTGGCACACATGTGCTGAATATTTCAAAAGACACGATACAAACAGTTTAACACCAGTTTAATGCTACAACAAAATGGATGATGGAGCAATTTTACTAATGAAAATAAGTCTGGAAGAATCAGCTTACATTTGACTGAACAGAACTAATTGCAGTTGTGGAAAATAAATAGGCAGAATGAATGGACAAATTATCCAGCAGTATTTCCCCGTTATACATTTAGGGTTTTAATGCATCCAGAGAAAAGAAATTAGGATACTTTCATGACTCACTGCTCACCAGAGGTAACAAAACTTAAGCTTCAAAGTAATACAAACTTCTCGTAAATAGCAGTGAGTCAGCCCTCCATCCAGAGAAAACTTCCTTACGTTTGATGTTTTATTTTTTCTTATTCCTACGGTATCTTTTAAAATAAGACATCACAGGCTGAGCTGGTAAACATGAGCATGTGTTGTGCACTTCAGTGCACTGACATTAATTTATACAATTTTGGAGTATTCCTCTAAATTTACTCTCTATCTTGGAACAAGTGTGTGCAGAGGCTCTGTGTTGCTTTAAGTAACTTCATGAATATTAAACCACAGAACAAGCAAAACAGCAAATTTACCTGGATGTGGGGCCTATAAAAAACAGGTGTGGATGTCTTATAAAAGTGAATTACAGGTAAATGTGTAACATGACTTTTGAACATTGTCTTGATGAGATTTTTAGATATTTGATTTGTATTTTTCTTGGCTGTATCACTTTTTTGTGGTTGGAATTAACAGAATCAATGCTTGATTGTGGACTCATATTTGATATTTGACCTCTACCAATCTAGTAATAATCAAATGTTAGGTTTCACTCTGAGACACAACAAATTATGATGTTTCTGCTCCGAGGCAAAACCAAATTTTCCCCTTGAATAACTATCACATACAAGTGCTACTGAATTTGATTTCCCAGTCAAAGCTCTTGTGTTAGCATATCTGACTGGACAGCTTTGTAGCAGTTTTAGCCGAGGGGTTATGGTGTCTCTTAGGTGTCTGAATTTGTTGGCTGTAAATGTGAAGTACTTCCATATTTGGCTCCTGGCACGAGTTTAGTCAAGCAGTTAAGATAGAATGGGATTTGGCCCAAGACGTGGTAGACTGTTTGACACTGCTGCCAAGGTTTCAGCAGCTTGACTCGAACTGCTGCTGCTGCTGTCCGCTGACAAGAGTGAGAATGACGTTATGTCTGTTTTAGTTTTTCTGGTAATAACTGCAGTCCACATGTGCGTGACATTTTATTTTTTATCTCTGACGGTTAATGTAGGGTGGCAGTGCCCTCCCCCAAAATTACCATTTGTTTATGAATGATTTATATGATCACTAACCTCGTGTTATGTTATATTGGTGAAGAAAACATTTTACTTGTATTCCTCCATTGAATGACGAATCCAAAAACGGAGAAGGTTATTGATGAATTGAAGTCATAGGCAACCATGTTTAATGACAGCGACAATATCAGAACATCTGTTTACAAACTCTCACACAAGTCATACAGTATAATCCAAGTCTCATTTACCCAGGAACTAAACACAAAGTGAAACTCATCTATGCTCTTCAACACCAGACTCCATTGACAAAAACAGTAATTTTACCCTTGTTGAACACGGGAGCTGCTGGTCTACCGCTGCATCAATCAGTTGATTTGTTTGTGTTATTGTGTGACATTGGTGTTTTAAAGAATAAGTTTGGATTCACTAAAATCACAAAATAACACAAACAAACTCCAGACTGAGGCAGTGGTAGACCAGCGGCTCCCGTGTTCAACAAGGTAAAAATAACTGCTTTTGTCAATGGAGTCTAGCTTTGAAAAAACCATAGATTAAGTTTCACCTTTTGCTCAGTTCCCCGTCAGAAAGGCTGTCTGTTTGGGAAGTACTGAGCATATGACTGGATAAATGAGACTTGGATTATACTGCACGAGTTGTGTGAGAGTTTGTAAATGGATGTTTTGATAAAGTTTTGCTGTCGTTAAATGCAGACCCCTATGACTTAAATTTATCAAGAATATTTTCCGTTTGGGGTTCTTTGTTCACTGGAGGCATGTGAGAAAATTCAACATAACACATGGTGAGTAATTCAGATATACAAATGGTCACATGAAAGATGAGTGCAAACTACCTATTTACCCATCAAATGCAGGATTGATTTTAAGGTTCTATCATTTTTTTAAAGCCATACATTGCTGAACTTCTCTGCCCCTACTCCAAATCTTGACCTCTTAGATCTTCAGAACGATGTCTTTTAACTGTCACCCAGTCGAGGCTGGTGCTCCAAAGCTTTGGAATAGTCTTCCAGTCTCAATCAAATGCTCCCCCTCTACTGATAATTTTAAAACAAATCTTAAGGCATATATGTT